AGCAGTCTTCCAATATCTCAGGGGTTGCCACAAAGAAGAGGGAGTCAAACTATTCTCCAAAGCCCCTGAAAGCAGGACAAGAAGCAATGGGTGGAAACTAATCAAGGAGAGAAGCAACCTAGAACTAAGGAGAAACTTCCTGACAGTTAGAACAATGAATCAGTGGAACAACTTGCCTCCAGAAGTTGTGAATGCTCCAACACTGGAAGTTTTTAAGAAGAGATTGGATAACCATTTGTCTGAAGTGATGTAGGGTTTCCTGCCTGGGCAGGGGGTTGGACTAGAAGACCTCCAAGGTCCCTTCCAACTCTGTTATTCTATTCTATTCTATTCTATTCTATTCTATTCTATTCTATTCTATTCTATTCTATTCTATTCTATTCTATTCTATTCATCTGCCAATTTCACCTTGAGCATAGGATTCTGACTCTTGAAATACTTTGCTCTGTTTAAAAATGATAGCACAGTTTTCTCTTTGATGTCACACTGAATATGGAAAAAAGTCAGCTGTCTTCCTTTCCTCCTTTCCGTTTCTTTCCTCTTGCCACTCTAAATTTAGCAGACAGGATGAGAAATACATAAAGACGAACTAATTAAAAGTCGCAGATAGGAAAAGCTAAGTAAAAAGGCATTGTTATTGAAATAAGGTACAGAGGTGTTATTAACAGTCAATCCAAATCACATGTTCAATCAAAGAACATGAAATTCAGGGCTGAACTAGACATGTGTTAGACTGATAAAATCACATGCCCTGGTTTCTTTAACCAAACTTTGAAGAAACTACATTTAGTTCCATAAAACCATGGCTTTCCTTTCCTTTCTATTTCCTTTCCTGGTCTTCCAAGCCTACAGAGAGATTCCTAAGATCAATTATAGAGAAGAGAAGAGAGGAGAGGAGAGGAGAGGAGAGGAGAAGAGGAAGAGGAAGAGGAAGAGGAAGAGGAAGAGGAAGAGGAAGAGGAGAGGAGAGGAGAAGAGAAGAGAAGAGAAGAGAAGAGAAGAGAAGAGAAGAGAAGAGAAGAGAAGGGAAGGGAAGGGAAGGGAAGAGAAGGGGAAGAGAAGAGGAAGAGAAGAGGAAGAGGGAGAGGAGAGGAGAGGAGAGGAGAGGAGAGGAGAGGAGAGAAGAGAAGAGAAGAGAAGAGAAGAGAAGAGAAGAGAAGAGAAGAGAAGAGAAGAGAAGAGAAGAGGTGGAAGGGACCTTGGAGGTCTTCTAGTCCAACCCCCTGCCCAGGCAGGAAACCCTACACCACTTCAGACAAATGGTTATTCAACCTCTTCTTAAAAACTTCCCGTGTTGGAGCATTCGCAACTTCTGGAGGCAAGTTGTTCCACTTATTGTTCTGTCAGGAAGTTTCTCCTTAGTTCTAAGTTGCTTCTCTCCTTGATTAGTTTCCACCCATTGCTTCTTGTCCTGCCTTCAGGGGCTTTGGAGAATAGCTTGACTCCCTCTTCTTTGGGGAAACCTCTGAGATATTGGAAGACTGCTATCATGTCTCCCCTAGTCCTTCTTTGCATTAAACTAGACATACCCAGTTCCTGCAACCGTTCTTCATATGTTTTAGCCTCCAGCCCCCTAATCCTCTTTGTTGCTCTTCTCTGCAGTCTTTCTAGAGTACATGATATGATCCCCCTTTTCAATATTTGCTTCCCTATATCAGTGGTAGAGCAGTAAATCGTTTATCTCCTTTGTGTCTTCTTGTGGATTTATATTGATATTATTTCCTGATTGCTTATTTGTACCCTATGACTATAATTAAGTGTTGTACCTTATGATTCTTGATGAATGTATCTTCCTTTATGTACACTGAGAGCGTATGCACCAAGATAAATTCCTTGTGTGTCCAATCACACTTGGCCAATAAAAAATTCTATTCTATTCTATTCTCATTTCATGTATTAAGTTTTTTGGGATTCTTTTGTAAGAACTTTCCTTTACAGCCTCATTCATCTTATAGTCACTCTTAGAGAACTAATCTTTGAGAAAAGCATGATTGAAATGAACAAAATGTGTCTGCTTCCCCCTTTGCTTGAGACTTATTCAATAATATTTTTAAAGTTCCAGTTTTCAAATGGTGCCCTTATCTGCATCATATGCTGGTGCAATGCCAAATCTCTCTCCCATGGATTCTAGCCTGGATTTGAGAAAATAATTATTAGGATTTTTAATACTGATGGTTGTGTTTCTACTACTCTGTTTCCCCGAAAATAAGACATCCCCTGATAATAAGCCCAATCGGGCTTTTGAGCACATGCGCTAAAATATGCCCCTGAAAATAAGCCCTCCCTGAAAATATTTAACCGCATATGCAGCCAGTCCCCACCATTTCCTCTGGTTAGGGTTAGGGAGACAGAGCTGGAAATCAGGTAAGATGGCAAGAGGAGTCCCATCTTGCTCCATGCACCCCAAAATAATAAGATCTCCCCGAAAATAAGACCAAGTGTTTATTTCACGGTTCAAAAAAATATAAGACAGGGTCTTATTTTCGGGGAAACACGGTAGCAATGCTTTCCTGTTTTAGACAGGAGTCTGGTGTACTACATGATACATGTTTAATTTGTCTTGGAATTGATTAGACTACATTCATTGAAACACACTCCCTCGGTATATGTGAAGACAAGTATTAATTTCCTTTCCAAAGATCAGGAAGTTTAGTTGAGGTATGGCCCTGATGCACCACTGAAACCCCAAAAATTTGAGCCCAGCCCTTTCTGAAATCTCCAAAGCAACCCTTGATAATACATGACATTTGATGGCATGTTTAAAAAAGATTTTTTTTTTATGTTATGAAAAAGGTGTACAGCATCATAACGACCCATCTTGCCTGAAGAACCATTACTAAAACCTGAATTTTTTTCAGTCGCATTCTCCTGATTCTCAAGAGTCAAAAATGAAGGAATAAATAAGAATTAGAAAGGAGGCAACCAGCCAGAGAAAGTTCATCCAACTCTAATATGGAGAAATAAGAAACAAGGACACCACTGAGCAATACTGTCTTTCCTACATTGTCATCATGACTCTGTTATGCGTTCTTCATCCTCTAACATCTTTTTTCTTAGCTGGTGCCCTCCAGATAATTAGCTTACTGACTTATTTCAATTTTTTGCGTTCTTCATCCTCTAACATCTTTTCTCTTAGCTGGTGCCCTCCAGATAATTAGCTTACTGACTTATTTCAGTTTATTTATTTTATTTTTTTGCCTGCAGCAATCAAGATGTATGACAAAGCGGCAACATTATTTGATTATATTTACTATCACATATCGCATGTCAAATATGTGATGCTCTCACAGCCCATCCAGACAAACAGTAACTGGTTCTTTTAATCCCACTTTAAAAATAAAGAGTTGAAGGTGAGGTTTGGATACAAAATAGTCCAACCTTGCTTAAACATGTTCTGTATATGTCTCATGAGTACAGATTTTATATCTTTGTAGATACCCTGTTTCTCCGAAAATAAGACATCCCCTGATAATAAGCCCGATTGGACTTTTGAGTGCATGCACTAAAATAAGCCTCCCCCTGAAAATAAGCCCTCCCCGAAAATATTTAAACGCAGAGCTGGAAATCAGGTAAGACGGCAAAAGGAGTCCCATCTTGCTCTAAGCACCCCAAAATAATAAGACCTCCCCGAAAATAAGGCCAAGCGCTTATTTTGGGGTTCAAAAAATATAAGACAGGGTCTTATTTTGGGAAAAACACAGTATGTATAAGGACAGTTGAAATCATACATTTTTCATTAAAACAACACACTGACTAAAACATCCCACAGTCAATTTCAGTGACTGAACTCACATCGATGAGTTGTAGTTTCTTCCCAGGGACAGGAAAATCTTTCCCCTCTCTTTTTTCCTCAAAAAAAAAAATCTTAAAAATTATCCTGTAGATAGAACCTAGTTTGGTGCTGGCATGTCAAAAAGATATGAAACTTATCTACAACCTGACATTTTAGAACTGGCAACGGACAGCAGGAAAAAAACAGCCTTCAAAAGGAAGCCAACGACACAAACCAGGATTACTTTCCACTAACAAAGCATATCTGTAGTTCTTGCAAACCCTGCGGGAATTATCATCCGGCAGGATCGTTGTGTAATTCCAACCTCTCTAAATTAGCTTAATAAAATCACGTATTTTTGGAAGTTTATGTCCTAACGGCCAACATTTCTATTTTTTTAAATCTTTTTTAAAATGTGGTATGAACCAGATTTCATTTTAAGTTATGCAAACAACTGTGGCACTCTATTTACACCTATCCATAAGAGCAGTGGTGAGTTGCCCCCAGTTCGCACAGGTTCTATAGAACCAGTAGTAAAACCGGCGGGAGGCTCCGCCTACTGACCCCGACGTCATCAGAACGCTTCTGCGCATGAGCAGAAGAGTGCGCGTGCGTGCAAGCAAAGCAAGCACACATGCGCGGCCCCATTACAAACTGGTAGTAAAAGTAAGTAGAACCCACCCCTACATAAGAGACAGGAAAGACCGTTTAGCAGGAGTCTCCAACCTTGGCAACGTTAAGACTTGTGGACTTCAACTCCTAGAATTCCTCAGCCAGCTTTGTTGGGAGTTGAAGTCCACAAGTCTTAAAGTTGCCAAGGTTGGAGACTCCTACTTTAAAGTAATCTTCTCTTTGGTTCTATCTAATGATTGAAGATTGTCAGCTGCATAATTACTAAAAACACTTGAGTAAAGTCTTGGGGACACTTTAAAAGCTAGCTATTTATCCTGTCATAAAAGTTTTTGAATAATAATTCATCACATACAGTACATGATGTAGTCCTGTGGTCCATGAAGCCTCACACCATAATAGCTTTTAAAATGCCACAAGAAACTTTTGTTTTTGTTTGGCTTTGCTACCACAGACAAACCTAATTTATCCCTCCAGAAATGCTTTCTAATAAGAAGATACGTCGATATTTGTTTTTTTTTCCCCGATGAGATAGATATACAAAATGATTTCATTCAGCCCCCTGGTCTCTTTTCTCCTTCACACGCAGCCACAGATTTCATCCCACCCACGGAAAAAGTTCGCGTTCACTGCTTCCGTCTCCCTCAGCATGATCATCCTTGGTTCTCTCTTCATCCATCACATTGGCGGCAAAGGGAGTGATCTTCTCCAGCGAGAGATCCGTTTCGTACTCCTCATGAATAATGGCCGAGAAAACAGCTGCACTGTTACCATGAGGTGAATGGGGGGCCTTGTCCAACCCCAGATCCTCCTCCTCTTCTCCTGGAAGAGTTATAGCATGAGGGAGAAAGTGTGGGTAATTTAAGGTCCCGAGGTCTTTCTGGCAGGTGGTGTCATGGTGGTAGGAAACCAACTCATTGCTGAAGTTTACCGTCTCCACAGCATTGCTGGGACATAAGCGGCCGCAGCCCAAGATGGCTGCAAAAGCCTTCCGGAAGTCTGCATTGAAGGCGTAGATGACGGGATTGAGAGAGGAGTTCGCCCAGCCAAACCAGACAAAGATGTTGAAAACGGTATCGCTGATACAGGGGAGCTTCCCCATCTCATGAAGGCCGGGATCGCAAAAGGGCACGATGCAGTTGAGCACAAAGAAAGGGAGCCAGCAGAAGACGAAAACTCCCATGATGATCGAGAGAGTCTTGAGGACCTTGGTTTCTTTTCTAAAGGAGTTCTTCAAGGAGATCTCGTGAGAACACTCACTGCTGTGGCAACTCTGGGCATGTTCCACAGCCCTCTCTAGAGAAGAGATCCTTCGTATCTGTCTCTGAGCGATGCGGAAAATCCGGGTGTACGTCACTATCATGATGGCGACGGGAATGTAGAAACTGATGAAGGATGAGGAGATGGCATAGGTTCTGTTGAGGCTAGAGTCGCAGTTCCCTTCGAGGGTCCAGGTGAGGTTGGAGCCTGATTCCTCACCAGGAAGGAGCTTCCTGGCTTTGTGCCATCTCAGATGGACAGGTATGAATGAGATCAGAACGGAGAGCATCCAAGCCACCCCAATCATAACGGAAGCTACCCGTTGGGTCATCTTCCGTTCATAGCAGAAGGGGCTAGAAATGGCCCAGTAACGGTCCATGCTGATGATGCACAGGTTGAGGATTGATGCTGTGGAGCACATGATATCAAAAGCCACCCAAATGTCACAGAAACCCCCAAAAGGCCAGAAACCGGCTACTTCGACCACCGCTTTCCATGGCATCACCAGCACAGCCACAAAGAGATCCGAAACAGCCAAGGAGATGACAAAGAAGTTGGTCACCTTGGAGCGTAGATGTCTAAATTTGATCACCGCCATGCACACGAGCGTGTTGCCCAGAAAAGTGAAGAGGATGAGAAGCACTAACAAGGCAGCCATCACCACGCGCAAGGACATTTTTGTCTTCTCCACTTGGCTTTTCTTCATGAATGTGTCGTTAGTCGTCGTGGCGGACGCGCCATCAGTCCCTCTTGACAAGCCAAGCCCATCCATGTCTACCTGTGAGCCTTCTGTGCCCATGATGCAATGTGTGCCATCAACTTCTACATCTTTGCTCCTCCAACAGTCACCACGAAGCCCAGCTTCTCCACTCGCATTTCAGAAACGATCAACCCCGCACTCCCAGAGTTTCCAGGCTCGCGGGCGCAACTTGAGCTAAAAGAAGCGACAACGTTCTCGACATTTCACTCCTTTTCAAGACTCCAGCAACGAGCCAGACATTCCTTCCTCCGCTGCCTTTTGCTTCCCGGGGCTGCCACTCTCAGCCAGCCAGTTTTCACCTTCTACACTTTTTGGCAGAGAGGATTCGTCGCGCAATTCGTCTCCTTCGCTCTCGGCTTCCCACCTTCCCCACAAAGCTCATCACTTTTGTCTCTGCTTGCTTGGCCAGAGTTTAGCTAGAGCTTAATCCATTTTCTGCCGGTAAAGATGGGATGGGGTAGAGCAAGACCTGGAGATGCAGAGAGAGAGAGAGATTGGTTCCCCCCACTTTTTTTTCTTTTTTTTCTTTTTGCTGCTGTTCCTGCTGATGCTGATGCTAGAAGCTCTTTCTGCATTTGAGCTCAACTGCTGTTGCTTGTCTCCTGCTGGTCCCCATATGCCAAGACTTCTGTTCAGGTGAGCATCCCTTTCTTACCTCTCTGTACCTCTTTCTTCAAGATTATCAGGGACCTGGGATGAGGTGTGTTCCGCAGAAGCCAAGGACTCTCCTAAAAAAAAAAAAAAAAGGCAAAGGAGTGGAAAAGCAAGCAATTAAAGGAATCGCAAGGATTCCGAATCTTTGATTTAACGTTAAGGCGTCAGGATGGAAATTCCTTCAGTAACAGATCCTATCTTTGAAGCAGAGCAGAATGTGGAAGTCAGAAACTGCAGGGGTAAGAAAGGGCTTTGAGTCCCAAACTATTGTCATTGTTATGTTTGGGGAGAGAGGAGGGGATATGCAGAAATCAATCATCTCCATCCCCCCCCCCAACCCCATTTCTCTGCAATCTGAGCACCGGTTCATTTCCAAATGCTCCTTTCCGATGACTTTCTTTAGAAACAAGTCATTTGAGTTGAAGGAGGAATTCTTTGCTTTGACAGGAATGGAAACGTATATTTTTTGCTTTCTTGGGGAAAAGTATCTCATCCAACCGCCAACCTATGAACAAAATCAGGGATCAAATTTCTCTGATTGGTGATTGATCTACTCTCTGCTAAAAAAAAAAAAATCTTCCTTGCCTTTCAGTCCAGTCTGTTTTACTCTCAAGTAGCTTTATTTTAACATTTAACCAAGCCGAACAGTTCAAGTTTTATACTCTGCAGCATTAGAACCAAATCAACCATTAAGAGTCCCAACTTTGGAACCTCTATGGTAAAATTGGCATGCAATAGGCTATAAAATAAAACATCTATTTATAACATCAGTTTCACTTGCAGGAATGCCTTTAATGCTCCACACACGTCCCATAAAGCATGTGGTGGAACTAATCACATTTTTATTCATGTCTGTTTTGTGTCTGGTTATGACCCTGGAAGCAACTATGGGAAGCCTCCTATTACTGCCACTTGGTGAGTGTGCCCACTGCACACTCTTCAAGTAACAAATGTGCCATTGCAGGGGTGGGTTCTAAATTTTTTTTACTACTGGTTCTGTGGGTGTGGCTTATTTTGTGGGCGTGGTTTGATGGTCATGTGACAATTCTTTAGGATTTAGCAGAGGTACTGGTCTACCAGGCTTTTAACTGCTTGCAGAGCTGTATCGATCTACCCATTTGTTCTTGGAGTGTTCCGGTCTACTCATTTGTTTTTGGAGGCACCGGTCTACCCATTTGTTTTTTGAGCGCACTGGTCTACCACCACACTGCCTTTTAACCCTGATCAGCTGTAGGGCGGCCCTTTGAAGCCCCACGGCAAGAGTTTAAACAGTTTTTTTTCCTTCTAGCCGATCAGCTGGGACTCGGGAGGCAGCGAATAGATTGGGGGCGGGGCCAAATAAAAGGTAAGAATAACACGGGGGCCCAGCTCCCAAACAAAGAGAACCTGTTCGGTGACGTCATATCGTCACCGCTACCAGCTCGGCCGAACCGGGAGGAACCCACCACTGTGCTGTTGGCCCAAAACAGTTTCTTTACACCAACTATGGAATGTGTTACGATATAGTAGCACCTTCCCTCCCTTCCTTTATATTGACTCCGACTCCACTGTTCATATAAAGAGATCAGAGAAAGACACCAATGCAGGTGTCCCCAATTCATGATCAGTCATTTAGCGACTTTTCAAAGCTATGAAAAGCCTCCCCAGAGTTACTTGCAACCCGAATTCAAAGTTCTGATGCCCTCTCCTCCGTAGGATCACATGGTTGCCATTTAGGCACTCAATAACCAGTCCACATTTACGGCCTCAATCACATGGCCACAATTTATGTCATTTTTTAAACAGAAACTGGCATTTATGTCTATGGAGAATCTCAGTCATCCAGGTTGTCCCAAAGGTGCTTTTTTCAAGAGGCAGCTGGATTTTCTTTGAAGACGTTTTGCTTCTCATTCAAGAAGCTTCAGAGCTGAAGAAGCTTCTTGGATGAGATGCAAAGCGTCTTCAAAGAAAAAGTCCAGTTGCCTCTTTAAAAAAAAAGCACCTTTGGAGAAAACCGGCATTTATTTTTGGCAAAATAGGTCATTGGGGACCATGGATTCATTTAATGACTGCTGCAAAAAACATTGTAAAACCAGGGATGATCACATGGTGATCTACGACCGTAATTCTGAGATCAATTACAGTCATAAGTGGACGACATAAGTGGAGGACATATTTCTTTCTCTGTCTCCTTCTTCTTCTTGTGTCATATCCGTCATTGGACATCAGTGATCATGTTGACGATCCTGTTTTTATCAACAGCCGCACGAAAAAATGCTGCTAACTTTTGTCCAAACCAGTTTCTTAGATTTTGAAGCCATGATTCTTCACGTTTCAGCCTCCAGTCCCCTAATCATCTTTGTTGCTCTTCTCTGCACTCTTTCTAGGATCTCAACATCTTTTTGTGCATCGTGGTGACCAGAACTGGATTCCAAATGTGGTCCCACCACTATAGACTATGAAGAAACATACCCAAGATTTGACATGAAGTATGCCTTCCAGTTCATGCCAAAGCTGATATTTTTGCTAAAATCGTTCTCAGTCTATTCCTTCTAGATCAGTGGGTCTCAACCTTCCTAATGCCGCGACCCTTTAATACAGTTCCTCATGTTGTGGTGACCCCCAACCATAAAATTATTCCTAAGACTATTGAAAATATGTGTTTTCCGATGGTCTTAGGCGACCCCTGTGAAAGGGTCATTCGACCCCCAAAGGGGTCCCGACCCACAGGTTGAGAACCACTGTTCTAGATAGATCAACCTTTGGGACGAGAGTAACAATTTAAAATGGGTGGAATTTCATATACATAGGCAATAATAAAATAGAGGGGGAAAATACTGCTTTAAAAAATAACCTGTTTGGGCAGAAACCATGCATTTTCTACCTGATAGGTATTGCACTTTTGATTTTACAGTTTAAAAAAGTTGGAAGGGACCTTATAGGTCATCTAGTCCAACCCCCCACCCAAGCAGAAGACCCTACACCATTTCTGACAAATGGCAGCCCAAGCTCTTCTTGAAAGCTTCCAGTGATGAAGCTCCCACAACTTCTGAAGGCAACTTCTGTTCCATGGGTTGATTGTTTTCACCATCAGAAAATTTCTCCTTATTTCTAGGTTGAATCAGTCCTTGTTCAGTTTCCTTCCATTTTTCCTTGTCTGGCCTTCAAGTGCTTATGAAAATAGCTTGACCCCTTCCTCTCTGTGGCAGCCCCTCAAATATTGGAAGACTGCCATCATGTCTCCCCTGGTCCTTCTCTTCACTAGACCAGTTCCTGCAACCGTTCATCATATGTTTTAGCCTCCAGTCCCCTAATAATCTTTGTTCCTCTTTTCTGCACTCTTTCTAGAGTCCCAACATCTTTTATATAGTGTGGTGACCAAAACTGGATGCAGTATTTTAGATGTGGTCTTACTAAGGCTTTATAGAGTGGTATTAGTACCTCCCTTGATCTTGATTGTATCCCTCTGTTAATGCAATTTAGGACTGCATTTTCACTGGTCTGGCAACAGAGAACTTTAGTGGCTACAAAATGATGTTTTTGTACTGTGCCATTAGGTCTGCCAGCATGATTAAAACAAGCCCATCTACCTCAATTGAAGTGCATGTACCTTTTCAAATTAATGGCCCTTATTCACTAGTGATTTCAGTAGAGGTCCTGCAAGGCTACGCCATTGCCCTCCTCTAACTGGGGCTTTAATTGCATGAAACGGCAGATGGAAAAAGTGAGCTTTTAAAAACATTTTTTTCCCTCTTTCCCTCCGTTGCTTGGCTTATCCAAATGTCCCTTTGTGATGAACGCCACACTTAAGGCATTGGTTACTCTCGATGCTCTTTGCAGCCCGAGAAGAGCCCAAATGTTAACCTCACAAGGCATTTTGACTTAATCTGTTTTCCTCCTGAGAGAAACAGGGATGACGTTTATATTGCAGGATTGATGAAAAGGAAGACTGAGTAATCAAACATTACACGGTTGGAGCAAGATAGTCTGGCTCCTAGGCATTTTTTTTTTTTTTGGTTTGTTGTTGTTCTGAAAGATTTGAAACACAAGTATAAAGGAATGAAGAATGGGAAAACTATAAACCAAATCCTAATTCCTGTTCAGCTCTTCGTAGTACATCATCACTCTTTGGGTACTTAGCCCAACTGGAAGCGAAGCAGACTGAAAAAGATGAGTATCTACAAACTGGATTGTGGTTGCAATTGAGTGTGTTTCTCCTTGGAATCAGTTATTCATCATACTACTTTATAATGCCTTGGTAAGGCCACACTTGGAATATTGCATTCAGTTTTGGTCGCCACGATGTAAAAAGGGATGTGGAGACTCTAGAAAGAGTGCAGAGAAGAGCAGCAAAGATGATTAGCGGACTGGAGGCTAAAACATAGGAAGAAATCAGGAATTGGGTATGTCTAGTTTAATGAAGAGAAGGACTAGGGGAGACATGATAGCAGTCTTCCAATATCTCA